TGGCAGGATTTTAGTAGCTCCCCTGGCATTCACTTGTCCCTCTGCTCTGATCAGAAAATACCCCAGTGGAAGACAGACTGCACAGCCACTTCTCTGAATGCTGGCAAGAAGACACTCAGACGGGCTGGGTCAAGGAACGGGAGGCAGGCTGCCCGGAAGAGCAGGAAGGGCAGGACGCACACACCGACACAGAAGAATCCATCCGCTCCTGCCAAGCAAAGGGCTCGGCAAAAAACAAGAGCAAGACTGGAGCAGAAGAAAACCCGGCTTCACCGGGCCGGAGCCTGTCCTGGCCGTGCTGCGGGGGCCGGCGCGTGGAACAGAAGCGCCCCCCCCGCCCTGCGAGGAAAGTGTTACATGAGGTAGCTTTGATGGTCTGTTGTTGTGTTCTACGTTACTCATGTGACAGAAAAGGAAAGTTGCCATAAACACACCCTTCACCTGCCCTCACCTCAGAGTGGTGAGCACCAGGGACCCTCAGAACCAGCGTGGGGACAGGACACGGTGACGCCGCGTGGGGACAGGACATGGTGACACTGAGTGGGGACAGGACACAGGACCGCGTGGGGACAGGACACGGTGACACTGAGTGGGGACAGGACACAGTGACACCGCGTGGGGACAGGACACAGGACCGCGTGGGGACAGGACACGGTGACGCCGCGTGGGGACAGGACACAGGACCGCGTGGGGACAGGACACGGTGACGCCGCGTGGGGACAGGACACAGGACACGGTGACACCGCGTGGGGACAGGACACGGTGACACCGCGTGGGGACAGGACACGGTGACGCCGCGTGGGGACAGGACACGGTGACGCCGCGTGGGGACAGGACACGGTGACGCCGCGTGGGGACAGGACACAGGACACGGTGACACCGCGTGGGGACAGGACACGGTGACACCGCGTGGGGACAGGACACGGTGACGCCGCGTGGGGACAGGACACGGTGACGCCGCGTGGGGACAGGACACGGTGACGCCGCGTGGGGACAGGACACAGGACCGCGTGGGGACAGGACACAGGACTGCGTGGGGACAGGACACGGTGACGCCGCATGGGGACAGGACACAGTGACACCGCGTGGGGACAGGACACGGTTGGGTCCCCTTGAGGGGTGCGCGAGAGGCCGCTCCTTCCTTAATACTGGGCGGAAGGTCGCCGTGGCTTTCAGAAGCCAGGCGTTCAGAAAGCGGGGGCTGTGCTCACGCCAGGTGTGGAGGGGCCGGGCGTGGGCGAGCTCTGAGCACCCAGCCCTGTGGGCTTCAGTCACCAGAAAGCCCCGGGCCCCGGGGTGAGCTCTGCCCCTCGGTGCTGGGCCCTCACCAGCCGCCCTTGGTGGGTGTGGAACGGAGACGCTGGCGTGGGCGGGACCCCCCCCCACGAGCCTCCCGCGGCGCGCGAGTGGCCGCCGAGGCTGGGCGGGCCCTGCCACTGCCCTGCAACCCGCTCATGTCCACACCGAAAAGACACGGCTTCCTGCTCCTCTGCACCCAGGCCGGTGCACGTGCGGCAGGGACGGCCCGGCCCAGCGCCGGCTCGGCCCGACAAGGACTCAGGCCGCCTCTCACACACGGTGGAGACAGATACAGTTTCCACCTGAGGAGCATTTTAAGGAAAATGAAGTCTAAGGGGAAAAACCTTCTTACGGAGCGGGCCGCGGCGGGCGGGCGGCCGGCCACATCCTGTGCGGGCCTCTGACTCAGTGTCAGGTTCCTCTTTCAGGCAGGTCCCGGGGTCACATGGCCCCTGCCGTTCAAAACACCTCCGTGAAGAGAAGCCTCTGCAGCGGAAAAGCTGAATAAGAAGGTGGAAACCATCGGTGGGAACGCGTGGGCGCCACCCACAGCCCTATCGGAGAGACCGCAGAGCCGGAAGACTGAGCTCATGGAGAGGATGGTGGCGAGAGAGGAGGGGTCTGTCCCTGCCGGCCACAGCCCTGCTGGGGTCGGGAGGGGTCTGTCCCCGGCCACAGCCCTGCCGGGGCCGGGAGGGGTCTGTCCCCGGCCGGCCACAGCCCTGCCGGGGTCGGGAGGGGTCTGTCCCCGCCGGCCACAGCCCTGCCGCCTCGGGCGCACCCACCGCCCGCCTGGGGGCCCGGGGCCGGGCACATGGG